CCAATGAGAGAGCAAGACATGGGTTGAGGTCAGCAAAAAAACAAAAACAGCAGCAGCAGCAACATGGCTTTAAGAAAAGGTTGGACACAAGAAATGGAGTGACATTTTTTAGAACAGATCATCATGCAAACAGCTTGCAGCACTAATTTCTTCCCGACGTCTATTTTCAAATAAACAACTCATGTTTCAGTTGTTGTTTTGCGTCATTCCTCTTCAACTTCCCGCATGCGTTTTTGTAATAAAACGTGGTTTGGGGACCATGTAGAGTCATTTAGTGACAGTGCACTTGCGGTCTTCCGGATTTACAATGACCGCGAGACTGTAGTGTGTCCCATTCGTCATTTTAGCTTTCAGAAGGGTGTTCGGGAGTGGCCCCTTTGCTCTCTTTCGCACTTCTGCTGAGCCCACACTTAGGGTGAGCTCCGCATCAGACTTCTACCCGACTGTCAAAACGCCATTACGTCACGAATGTGTGTACTCAGAGGAAGACCGCAAGGGTTTAGGGTGTGATTTGGGACAGGGCCGAAGTCTGTGGAAGTCTGCTGCTGAGCTTGCTTCAGTGCAGACTCGGCAAAAGTGCGCATTGAGGGTGCATAGCGGCCGCAAAGGGGGCACTCGCCAGCACCCTTTGGAAGCTAAAATGATGAATGGGACACCCTACAGCAGCGTTCTTCAATTAGTTTTTGCCGAGGGCCGAATTCTGCCAACAATACCAAGCCAACTGTAATTATTACAATTATATTGTTGCTTTTGTTAAAATAATGTGATGAATATTCAAAGATGAATATTCAGATTTTTCCCCAATAGTATGTTTTATTCAAACAATTATGAACATTTTTGCATTTTAACTTTGCCTGTTGAATATTAAAAACAAATGCACAAACAAAAAATCTGGATCTCCATGTCTGCCATGCAAATCAACTGTTCCTGCTCATCTCCAGCCTGGATCTCTTCTCTCCACTTTCCCTAATTGCAGATTAGGCCTCGGGAGACAAGCCAAAAGTTTAACCTATTTAATCAGCATATAAAACATTAGAAATTAGATATTTAATTTTTATTTTGTTTTTGACTGTTAAAACAAAAAAATATTTGTTGTTTGTCTCAATAAATTGAGTTCATTTAAAAATACAGTGGTTAAATGTAAAAAAAGTTTATAAAAAATGTAAATAATTATCGATACCGAACGATATGAAACATTAAATCGTTGATACATTTTTTAGATATATCGCCCAGCCCTACCCTTAACCTTATAACTATAAGGGATTTTTTAGCTTAAGGGCTTTCATGCAACTGGGCACTGGTAGTTTACTGAGATTTCTTATCCCGTGCAAACTGGCCATTAGAATTACAGATGTCCTATGGTAAAATTACACATTCCATCTACCCTTGTAAAACTAATCCCATTCGAATAGGGCCTTAGATTATAAAATTGTGTCTAAGTTTCACTAATGTGACCATACCTTAAGTGTATTTCTATAAAGACCATTGTGATTTTAACAAACTAAGGAACAAGTCGAAATAGATTTCTTAGGATATCGACAGCATGTCATAGACACTTACTGTAATTTAGTGTAAAAAAGTGGATTCACTAGTAATCCTTCCTTCCTTATCCTTCCACAGGCACACTAACACCGATTGAGCCATATTAAACCTGACAGTTAGTTAAACTGATTAAAACCTGCTTATCGGGAGACAAGCCAAAAGTTTAACCTATTTAATCAGCATATAAAACATTAGAAATTAGATATTTAATTTTTATTTTGTTTTTGACTGTTAAAACAAAAAAATATTTGTTGTTTGTCTCAATAAATTGAGTTCATTTAAAAATACAGTGGTTAAATGTAAAAAAAGGTTATAAAAAATGTAAATAATTATCGATACCGAACGATATGAAACATTAAATCGTTGATAAATTTTTTAGATATATCGCCCAGCCCTACCCTTAACCTTATAACTATAAGGGATTTTTTAGCTTAAGGGCTTTCATGCAACTGGGCACTGGTAGTTTACTGAGATTTCTTATCCCGTGCAAACTGGCCATTAGAATTACAGATGTCCTATGGTAAAATTACACATTCCATCTACCCTTGTAAAACTAATCCCATTCGAATAGGGCCTTAGATTATAAAATTGTGTCTAAGTTTCACTAATGTGACCATACCTTAAGTGTATTTCTATAAAGACCATTGTGATTTTAACAAACTAAGGAACAAGTCGAAATAGATTTCTTAGGAAATCGACAGCATGTCATAGACACTTACTGTAATTTAGTGTAAAAAAGTGGATTCACTAGTAATCCTTCCTTCCTTATCCTTCCACAGGCACACTAACACCGATTGAGCCATATTACACCTGACAGTTAGTTAAACTGATTAAAACCTGCTTACCTTTTTGGATTGCTTCAACAGATACATCACACTTCAGAAATGATGACAGGTAGTCTTTAACTGCAAGTAAAAAACCCTCCTGAAATATGTGGCTAAGCTAAAAAGGTGGCAGTCAGCATAATAATTGTCTTTGCTAACCCTAATGAGGTTCACAAACAAATAGTGGTTGTTTCCAGTGAGCTAATGCTTTCAATTGCAGCCCATTATTCAATCAGCTCTGTTGGGACTGTAAGTCACATGCAATCTCATATTTATGCAAAACATGGCTGTCAGCCTCATCGTCTCATAGGCTGTTATTATCATTATGCGCTGCAAATTAATGAACGCTGCCTCTCGTCATCTAGAGCGTTGACAGTCACCTAATGAGGTGCCGTCTACCTGTAAGCTATGGTGTAATTATTATCTCCAACAGAACACACACTCTCACACACCGTGGAGAATGATGGTGTAAAACCTATTCTCAAAAACACAATCACACGGCGTCTGTTCCCCCTCTCTGGTTTTATTTGCTGATGTGTAATAAGGTCCACAGGGCAACTCGTGCATGTGTATCTGTCTGCATTTTATTCTGCGTGGAGCAGAGTTCAGAAGTTCACAGAAACAGGGACTCCTCAGGATTAGGCTTGTAAATATTGTACTAAACTCCTCAAACAGGATTTAGATGAGTATTGTGCTGTCTTGGCAGTTTCTCCGAAGCGCTCTGTCATATTGGAGTGATTTTTTAACGTTGTTTACAGCTCTTTACAATTAACACAACGATCTTGATGTCTTAGAAACAACGTAACGAATGCAAGTTGTATATGAACAGTTGCAGGTAATGTAGACAATGCTTCAAAAGATACTGATTGCTAATTGTTTCCAGCTTGAACCTCTGAATATATTCAGCCAACGCTGTCTCGCACTATCACACGCATTTGGTACAGGCAATTAATCTGTGCTATAACTCAAACAGTGGCAGAAACAACATCACTTACAATTATGAGTCATGATAAGGAGAGATAATGACTATGTGGGTGTTTATGCTACAATATATTTGCTACTCATAACATGCGTTATGTATCTTTCTCTCTTGACAAAGACTCTCATGGGGGGTGAGATTCCAATTTACAGCCTGCAAATAAAGCAGAACTCAAACAGGACGGCAGCATCGGCCCTGGGAGGGTTTGGATTGTGTGTAGAATTAGATTTCTGCATTGAATCAAATCTAATTTAGATGATGCTTTCTAAAGACAATTCGAGTGGTGCTAGCCTGAGTAAACACAGATATTTTACATATATTCCACATTCAACCACTCCAGACATGTCGAAGCATTCGCCATCTAAAAATGGTCAATCTATCATCACTCATCTCTCACAGTAGAAATCAATAAGTCTTCCAAGATGTCACAGCATTGCTCAGCCTCTGACTGTAAAAACCACCAAGATGTAAATTCCTGAAGAATCTGTATAACCCATCACAAGTGAGAATGTTTTGGGTTGGTTTTTTATATGTATTAATGCAATATCACAGATTTGTAAACTATTGTAACTTTTTATTGCTGTTATCTAACACCTTCGTCTTGTATTGTGTTAGGTTAGCAAAATCATCTGCTGAATTCAATTGCAGATATATTCATATATGCGTATAACTACGGTTGCAGGCGCTCAGCCAACTTGCTCTTGAGTGCTCACAGACTTGCTTTTATCGTTCCAATACGGTGGACAGGCTTACGTATAGCAGCCCATAGAAACAGCTGCTAATGAGGCATCTGTGGATATACAATCTATGTGTGTAATAGCAAAGCCCCTTTTAAGGAAAGTCAGTTCACTGGTGGCCATATTTGCTATTTTAGGCATGCAAGGCTCCAACTGCTATCTACTTGAATGGGTGAATACCAAAATCTCAAAAACCAATCATAGTTCTCTCATTCTTAAATGAGTGTACAGTCTTGGTATGTAGTCTCTGGCTAGGGTGGTTGCCAGGATGTTGCTATGCAGTTTCTAAGTGGGTTTTAACGTGTAAAAGTAACACATATACCTCTTCTTAACAAGAACATTTACACTTGCATCTATTCATTTAGAAGACAACACATTCAACAGAATACATTTAGCAAAAAACAACATGCAAATAATGTTGTTTCGAGTAAATTTTATATTAGGTGTTCTTGAATATGTCTGCTTCACATGATTGGCACAATTCCAATTCATGTCTGTTGCCCACATGGTGTGGGACAAGTCGGACACCATAGTCTAATACGTAAGGTTAGGGGTTTTCTCAAATAAGTATGAGTAATAGTATTAGGTGATACATGCCTTAGCAAGCACCACTAATAATAATATTGGTGTACCAGGCTGTCTGGAAACACATTTTTAATTTATATTATTTATTTATTTAAAATTGAAGCACATAATACGCTCAGGGTATTTCGGGTGAGATATTACAGCCAAATACAATAATATATTGAAAACCGCTTCTGTACAATTTGTATTAAACCCATAGATGGGTGCTTAGATATTACCTGTTCACATTTATCTTATTTATCTGTTAATATTTCATTGCCCAAAATGTGCAGTGCACCAAAACAGTTGTAAACAAAACAGGTTTTGTGAGATAAAGCAAAATACAACTTTTTAAAGTTTTAATGTTTTTATTGAGCACTGCAGATACATTTGCCTAAAGTACATAGATAGTCACATTACTGCTCAGCTACCCAACATAGATTAGTGCGTCCGTGTGCACATTAAAACAATCACACGGCGAGAGTCAGCCTGAAGGCATAATCTGTTTTCTTCAAAAATAATTAATAACCCTACAAAGGAAAAGAGCAAAACGTTGTGTGGAAATGATCAGCCATGAAGTCGCACATACATACACGCGCAAAACACTCTGTCAGCACACATGCGGCGTTTTCAATTCTGACTCCGGCCTGTAATGATTATTAGCGCAGGCTAGCGTGACCAAACAGCCGAAGTAATGTAATTACACCCGTGTCACTGAGCTTCAGTCAGGAGAGAGAAACCGACAGTGAGAGAGAGAGAGAGAGAGAGAGAGAGAGGAATGGGAAGGTGATTTGAGTCCTTTGCCAGCGGGAAGAAGTCCTGAACAAACACTGTCCGAATAGGCTAATTATAACTGATATTTGGGATCTGGATTTGGTGCCAATGTCCACTTTATATTTAATTTTATTCAGCTGAGATTGACTACTTTCCTTATTGACTGATTGGCCTCCAAAAAAATCTTTACACAGACAGACAGGCACAATCTCTCCATGTCAGTCTGTACCCACACATACTCCTCAAAGCCATTTTCTAATGACAGAGAGGGCACTGTTGAAGGTGAACTGCCCTGGGTGGGATCCTCGGTAGGACAGGAGCAAGGACCCGGCCTGAGCGCTGTGGCCGGCCTGGTGAAGGTCACGGGCGGCCTTCTCCACATCCCATTCCCCCTGAGCCAGCATGTGAGAGACCAGTGAAGAATACAGAGCTGTGTCCACACAACTGATCAACATCCCAGCATTCAACAGCAGAGCTAGGAGCTCAGAGTCACACACCTCCTCAGTCACCTACAGAGAGAGAGAGAAAGAAAGAAAGAAAAGAGAGAAAGAAACAAGCCATGAAAAGGAGGCAAAGAAAAAAAATCAATTTCAATAAACACTCCAGTGCGACAAACAATCTGTGTGTGAGCAAACCTCCAACTTCACACAAACACACCACACAATATATTGCATTTTCCATCGTATATAAACAAGTAATCGTAATAGGTAAAATTGACTTTTACTATGTTAATATGGACACTTTTTCTTCATTACTTTCCTCATAAACATGCCTGTTTTTACCAGTTTACAACTTCCTCTAGCTGTATTACAAAACACACACACACACACACACACACACACACACACATATATATATATATATATATATATATATATATATATATATGTGAGTGTGTGTGTGTATCAAAGTTTGTACAAAAAACTGTTTTCAGCATAATAATAATAAAAACGTTTCTTGAGCACCAAATCAGCATATCTGAATGATTTCTGAAGGTCAATGTGACACTGAAGACTGGAGAAATGATGCTGAAAATTCAGCTTTGCCATCACACAAATAAATTACTTTTTAAAGTATATTAAAATAGGAAAGTGTTATTGTAAATTTTAATTATATTTCACAATATTACTGTTTTTACAGTGTTTCTGATTAAATAAATGCAGCATTGGTGAGCAAAAGAAACATCTTTCAAAGCCATTTTTAAAAAACCTTTAATGGAAGTATATATTATAAAGAAGTTATGTCCCCAAATTTTGTCAACGTTGTTACTATCACACATTACTCATTTTAAAGTCAACCCTGTAACGACAATTTAATGGTAATTAAAATGCACATAATTGTAGAAATATAAGAATGTTTTTTTTTTCAATAACACAGACATTGAGCTTTGAACTGTACAACAGATATTCTGAAAACAACATTACACACACACACAAATATTAATCTACCTGCTAATTTAACTTACTCTTATGAACATGTCTGATACTATATTTTATCACAAAAGAAACAAAAACAAACCTGTAAAAACCATCTTATCAAATGGTAAAAGCAGCTATTAGACTTAAAAACAGACTAAATCTTGCCGCCTCCACCTCAGAATAGAGCTTACAGACTCATGCCTGCCTTTCCCCTGGGCACTCTAGATTCTGTTTATCTGTGTTATCTAGTGGCCATGTTGCACTTGCATGTCTGGAGGAGGTCACATGCGATATAAATGAGCTCAGAGAGAGATGTCCCACCCTTCTGTGACCCCCGGCCTGCTCAGAGAGACCAGGAGCACTTCTCTCGTTTTTTCAGCATAAATTATTCAACTGCCGGCTTTAGAGGTGGAGAACACAAAGGAGCGGTACCGTAGGAGTCAGCACACTGGAAAATCAATTATGTGCTAAATTTGATTAAAGGCAAGCTCAAGCCAAGAGATATGATGCCCTTTGACTGCGTGTGTGCGCGTCCTCATATTAAATGCGACGTGACATTAATAGTGGATATAAAATACACAAATGCAGATTGTGTATATTGTACTGACCTCACACAAAGGTTTCTAATGCCTATGGAATGAGTTCAGATTTACAGTGATCTAAAAGACATACACATGCACATACATACACACTAAATGTGCGGTCACATTAGTGAAACTGGACAAAAAGGTCAATTTTCTATGGTCAATAGTGTAGTGATGTATGAAGCGCAGTCACTTTCTAAGTTTCTATCTAAAGTCACTTTCAAAAGAAGCAGCTTTCTATTGGTCAACGCAGCGAATCCACATGACCAACTTGAACCCACTGTGAAATCTGGGTGGGGAAATCTTACGCCCTCATGTGAGAATCTCGATCATGTGGATTCCTATTGAAATGACTGGATGTCACCTGTGAAAACTCGCTGAACAATGGTGAATGTGACCACTACAATTCATGCAACACAAAAATGTTTGATTCCATGTCAACATTTCTGATATTTTTTCATTTCATCCTCAATATATACCTTTATGTTTACAAATGAAAAGAAAACGAAGAGTAATTGAGAGAGAAAGAGAGAAGGTAGATAATAAAAGCCCTCAGAGGGATACATACACTACAATTACACATATCATCAATGATCATTGCCACTTTCATCCATTCATGCCTGACTATCATGTGTGTGTGATTCTGTGAGAAACTAGTCCACTTTGATTATTAACTCTTAGATACATAAAGCACACTATACCGGTCAGATCTTTAAAAGCTGTTTTTAACCATTTAGTGCATGAAGAATAAGAGAATCAAGTTTAAGTCAAGAACTCGCAAGTCCACATGCTCCCGATTCTATGACAAGACCATTAAAAACATAATCTTGGACTTAGACCCATATTTTCACGATCATGGTCTTGACTTGGACTCAACCCTCTTCTGGTCTCGGTCTTGACTCAGACTTGAATGAGCTGGGATTTGGAATGCAAATAGTCTTGTTTTGAAGTAAAAAAGCACATTTCAATAGAGATTAAGCCTGAAACAAAAACCACTTTGAAGGCCATACTTGAGCTATTATTAGTGGTCATTTTATTAGCACAAGTAAATGAGTTTGTAAATGGAAGGGAACTACACAGACATGGTTAATGTTGCTAAGCAAGCTTCTGTCTGGACACATACAGAATAGTCTGTGTGACTTCTGCCACACAAAAGATCTACACTGGCTAGTCCCAAATGTTTTTCCATTCTTATTTCTTCTTTCCAGCCAAGACGTCTGTGGAGAGCCGTTAGAGATGGCACAGACGGAGCTAAAAGGTCGAAGAACAGCAAGTGCAATGTGAGAGAGCAAGAGAGAGTGAAAAAGAGAGAGAAAGAGTGTGTTAGAGAAATTGAGAGAGGAGGAAGGAGGGAGAGAGGGAAGAAAATAAGAGGATGGAGGGAAAAGGGAAGAGCATGGAGAGTCGGAGCTAAAATGTCGAGCGTTGAACTGTGAAGAAAGATCGGCCAGCTGTAGAAACCACTTCATAAAGAGGGAGGGAAACAAAGAAAAAAGCGAAAAACAGCATGAAGGAGAAGAGAGAGCTGGCACATGGCCTATAATGTTTCAAATGCATGCCGATGATAAAAATGATGTGGCTTGTGAAAAATCATTTGAATTTTTCTTCATTTGAAAGGAATGAAGATGTGAATATGAGAGAGCAGTAATGTGCTGTTAAGATATTCTACTCATCACCTTCTTCCAACAGACAGACGAGAGCAATCCCTCGTTCTCCTTGATTAGAAATCCATTTCTGATCATTTCAAGGAGAAAAATGAGAGAGAAGAAATAAAATGAGAGAGAGAGAGAGAGAGAGAAGAGATGCAAATAGCACTCACTTATACAGTAGCATATTCCGAATTTTCCGGATAAAAAGTCACACCTGAATGCAAGTCAGACTGGGAAAAAATATAGATAAGTTGCATTGGTGTATAAGTCACATTTTATTATTAGCTGCATTCAGGAATAAATGTTAAACATATTCATATAAAAGTTTAAAGTAAATTATAGTGCCATTCATTATAAACAACATTTCATATAATCAACAATGCTAAATGAATCTAAAGTGAAACTCAATTACCGGAGTGAAGGAAATGCGATAAACAAATAGTTCATGTGCCTTAGTCCATCTAACATGAACAAACTGTTTTAAAGTTGAATGTGAGGAGAGATAAAACTGAAACCCACGAGATAACACATTTCTCAAAGCACAAACTAATTTGCCCATGTTGACCAGCATTTACCAAATTTGAAAAACATTAAAGGGTTAGTTCACCCAAAAATGAAAATTAACCCATAAATTACTTACTCTCATGTCATACTAGGTGTATATGACTTTCTTCTTTCAGACGAATCCAGTCGGAGTTATATTAAAAATTGTCTTTGATCTTTCAAGCGGTTTCATGGCACTCAGCGGGTGTTGCATGCATCAGTCCAAAAGCACTTAATTAAAATGCGCCCATCCATAAAAAAATTTAAAAAGTCTCACACGGCTCCGGGGGGTGAACAAAGGCCTTCTGTAGCGAATCGATGTGTTTTTGTAAGAAAAATATCCATATTCAAAATGTAATAATCACTTTAATCCAGCTTGCGCTCACTGTTGTACACTGGAAGCAGTTCCGGGCGGATGACGTATAGAGGTCAGTGCTGCGCATGCGCCAGTGAGTCTCGTGAAAACCAGCGTTTGTTAACAGGAGCAAAGGAAGCAAAGTTTCCTTACTTTAGCAAAGGAAAACCAGTCTCCTCTTGGCTTATATCGAAATCCTCCCGACAATCTTCTTTACAAATCTTCGTTTTGTACTTCTAATTAGTGACCGTTGTTTTGTCTTGATCTCTTCTCTGCGTTTCCGCGTGCGTCACTTCTGAGCGGCGCATGCACAAAGCCGACCTCCATA